GNGGCTTATGACTGTGAAAGCTGCCGTTAGTTTTTGGTGTGGTTAGACGACGTTGAAACATTTCTATGCAGGAGGAGGTGTGTCGTTAGGAGGCTCCGAGGGGAGAGGGACACGAGCTCAGAGGGGAGGGGGGGTGTGGTGCTTTTTTTCAAATCTTTCTCATCGTCTTTCTAAACTAGACCATGGCTTTAAGGTTCATAATAAAACATTATGAAAGCAGATGTCTTAGGTTACAAACAACAGGAGGTGATATCATTAATTCACAGGAGGAATCGATAAGGGAATCGATAAAGAATCGGATCGATAAGCAGAATCGATAATGGCATTGATATCAATAAAATCCTATCAATTCCCATCCCTATGCGGAATACAGCTAGTTTAGCCACCTAAAAAAATAAATATCAGTTTAAGTTTATGCTATATTTGGAATATTTTTTTCCCCTTAACCTAACCAATTGAGGCAGCGGTAGACCACAGACTCCCGTGTTCTGCTCAGTGAAATTACTGTTTTTGTCAATGGAGTCTTGTGGCTTTGATATTACAGCTTCAGTTCCTCATCAGAAAGGGCTGTCTGACAGCAAGGTAAAGCGGTGAAAATACTCTAAATATAGTGTACACTTAAAAAACTAACCAATTAAGCTCAGTGCCATTTCACGTATGTGGTGCATCACATTCTATTTGGAAGTTACTGTATAAAAGTGTATAAGAAAAGAACCCTACTTCTCACTTGATTTATTACCTCAGTAAACATTTTCCTAATGAGTTTGTAGTTTCAGTTGCTAGTTTGAAGTCTTCTTTAACACAGTATGATGTTCATTTTGTAAATTATTTTGTAAATTCAGAATAAAGTAGAGGATAAAACAGGGTGTACTTTAGATACCTTTTGATTAAGGAGTGGCTACCATCTGGTCAGTCGAGGCATACAGGCAGCTCCAGTTTCTCATTCAAATATGGTCACTTTTGTCTCCAAAAAGAAACAAGATTGCAACAGCCAAAATGCCACACTCAGTGCTTCAAAATGATCATCCTCAAACCGATGGATGATGTCACGGTGGCTACGTCCATTATTTCTATGCAGCCTGTAGAAAACACCAATAAAAGAATCCTTGAGCTACAAGGGAATGGGGCTCTGCATGGTGGCCTAATGGCCATAGCCAAAATAACTACAGTTGTTGAGCATGGATGTTTGAGAAATTTAAAATGCAGGTGACAAACTCTGGTCACTTAAAAACCCAGGCATTCATGGCGGTAGATGCAGCTATAAAGCTATTTATTAGGTTGTAAGGCTAACATGCTAACTGAGATGGTAATTCAAGATGGCAAGGAAGGAAGGGTACTAATCCTTTTAAAGTTAGCTTGTGTCCTTAGTTAGCACCCAGCTCTCTTTAACGAGCCAAACTCTTTTAGGGCAAGTTGTTTTAACATTTAATTAAACCACACTCCTATCTATAATTACATTTTAGATATTCAAAATAGCATTCCTCCTAGTCAGAACTATATTCTCACTAGTCAAAATGCTAATTAAAAATATCCACAAGACAATTCTTACTAGTAGAAATTGTATTTCAGTATATCTACAACTTAATAAGTAGTAGTCAAAGCTAAATTTAAGATTTATTTTTAATCCTCAAAGCCGTATCAGTGGCTGTTTTCACATTTAATCACTAGAGTGGGTATGTATTATTGATAGGCTATTCATAATTCAACATTTGAAATATCCACAATGACATTCTTTGAGGACAAATGGCATCACTTTATCTATTCATGTGTATTGGGCTTTCAGTTTCAGGTATCCACAAAGTCATTTCTGGATATTGACAATGAAGTCTATCTGCAATAGACCCCTTACTAGGAAAATCTTTAATTCCAGATATCTACAATCCATTTGTTACTAGTCATAATTTTTATTTCAGGTAGGCTATTCAGAATAAAAATGTTCCAGATACCCATTGTGTAATTTTGATGATCAAAAAGGCATGTTGACTTGTAGAAAGTTCATTATGTATATCCACAATTGGCATTACGACTAGTAAAAATGCAATTTCAGATATCTACAATGAGCTAGAATTATGGCTATGCAATCAGATATCAGTGTCAGGGTGGGTTTTCAACTCCGGGTACTCCGGGTACTCCGGGTACTCCGGCTTCCTCCCACAGTCCAAGGACATGCAGGTTGGGGATAGGTTAATTGGTGACTCTAAATTGCTCATGCCTCTCGCCCAATGTCAGCTGGGAAAGACTCCAGCCCCCCCGCCACCCTCGAGAGGATAAGCGGTTACGAAAATGGATGGATGGAATCAAATATCCACACGGGCCCCCCTGTTGAAGACCCATGTCCTGGGAGGAATGACATTGTAGAAACTGAAAATGTTCACTTTGACGAGGAAGAATTGAATTACAGATATCTGCTATGTATATTCAGTCTGTTACCACAGCTTGTCCAGTGCTGACATTAGCTAACATGAGCCACCATGTGCTCCTGGTCACACTAGACCAAAAAGCAGCAAACAACCCTGAGTGTATGATTGGGCTATAGGGTGTGTTTTATTGTTTATGAACTCAACTTGTCATTTGTAAGAGAAAGAATGTTCTTCTTTCAAATGTTCCACAGCCTCACTTTATCTCAACTAACTAGCTGTCTCCAGTCTGTGCACGGACATCTGTTCATATATTTCACTCAATGTGACTCAATGTGTTGGTTGTGGCACAGGTTATAAACTGCACATAAAGGAAAAAAGTGTCTCCCTGATGCCCAGTGCATGTGAAATAGAATGCTTGCATTGATACTATGTTAGTCCGGGTCAACGTCTTGATTCACACGTTATTTATCCAGGTGTTTAATGGCACTTACCAGATTTATCAACAAAAAAACACTGCAAGATGTTTTATTTGCATGAGTGGAAAATGTGCAGGTTACTGCATTTCATATTTCACTTGGGTCCAAACTAACAAGGGTGTCTGTGAATTCACAGGATTTCAAACTGATTGGGATCCTTCCAGCAGCATAAAGAGATGTGACTTTGAATTGTGTATGCAGTCGTTAAACAACGTTTTTACACATTGAACAGTATCCTTGATGGGTCTAGTAGCAGGAAAATAACACAGACAAGTGCAACCTCAATAACACAATTTTTTCTTTAAAATTACTGCAGCGCCAACATAAGAATGAATGTTCTGTGTATGTGTGTGCAAGTCAGATTTTGAACTATAAACCATTAACTGACCTATCATCAAGGTTCTGTTGATTTAGTTTGACCGGAGCACAGTTCCCACAGCATATTAAATCACAGGAACAAAGCAAATCATGCATTTTTGGTCTGACCTCGATAAAGCGACATGTTGCTGACAACACAAAAGAAACGCATTAAAAATATATAAGGCCGATTTGAGACCCCATTTTGAAACATATTATAAGGCTTGCTTTCTGTTCTGCTCCATACTTTCCCTGCTTCTCTCGTACCACCTACAGGGCCAAACTGCTACGCGGACACATCAGTGATACCGGCCGGCCGAGAGGTGAAGATTGATGAGTGTACAATCTGCTACTGCACATACGAGGAAGGCACATGGCAGATTGAGCGTCAGGCCACCTGCAGTAAGAACGAGTGCCAGCGGAGCTAGAGACTGGCACGGTCTGAGGGGACATTGGCACGCAACACCAGTGCCAATCTGCATGTAAACTCTCGGCCTTTTCACCCAATCTACCGGACATCAGGGTCGGACAGCAGCCCCCGAGCATTTCAGCATTTATAGTCACTCTACTGAAAAAGAAAATGCTTTTATGAAAGTTTATAATCCACACACAGAATATCTATTTATCTATGTATTAAATTATTTATGAATATATACAAATATAGGAGTAATTAATGCTGAACTAGTGAACAGATATTTTTTATAGCCTCTGTATTTTATTAAGCAATGTATTGGACCAGAGGTCAATAAAACAGAATGTATAGAACACACACAGCTGTCTTTGGAGGTGAAAACCTCAATGTCTCGACATGCGGTGTCACCTGACAAATCCTGACACCCGTCCCTCTACCACCAAAGTGCAGACTATGTGCGATCCATTTCAGATTGATGGGTTAAGATTAACTGTTTGGGAAGATCAAGTGCAGAGTTAAAAATGACGAGAAAAAGGAAGGAAATTCAAGAGGACTTGACTGTTTCCTGATTTCTTTGATCTTTTTGGATGTTCAAATGTGTTTTGATTTGAAAGTGCTTTTTTGTATTTCTCTTGGTACCGTGTGTTCATGTTTCAAATAAATGCCAATCTGCGCTCTGTAAATGCTCAAATGGTGCTTTTCAACTGTAGGTCTCCTTTGCTGAGAGGATGGTGTTTTACATTTGCAGACTTCCAACTGAATAAAAATGTTTTGCAGTTTCACTTGAAGCAACAAATGATACTGAGACAAAATGATCAACCCAATTTATTCCAATTTTGTGTTTGAGATATCACAGATAACCTTTGAGTGTGACAAACGTGAACAAATGCACTGGTTAGATGCTGGCATGTTCTTGTTTTTAAGTCCCAGGATAAGAACTGTTTGTGAGGAAACTACAGGTAAATATTTAATGAACTGTCAAGAGAATATTAAGTTATTTAGCAATGCTGCGGTTTCATTCTCAATAGCTAAAAGCACCACAATATAAATAAGGGAGGTTGGAAAGTGAGAATATAGAATCTCACTAGTTGCCTGTGGATTTATAATAGTTGTCTCTGGAGACTCTGATGTCATTGATCCCATTTTGCTCCCAAAAAATTAGAAATTGAAAGGTCAAAAGACTTGCAGCATATTTTTCTTGTCTTCATCTTCCGTTTGAGGATGAGGAGGAGTAATGAATGCATGTATCTGGCAGTGCCAAGGGGCCCATCGACCAGCAGATCAAAATGATGATTAATAATTTAAGCTCAGGTTATGAACACTGAAGGGCAGGCTCTGATGAATGGATGCAGATGTTGTGTTTCTGTGTTTTCCTGTCATCTTTTGCATTTGCAGAGCGGCGCTCTCTGTGTCACCCTTTGCAATGTTCTGGCCACTCCGCAGAACTCTTTGATCGAGGGGTTGCCAGACAACGATGTTGCATCTCCAGCAGTGAGACGTGCCTGTCAGCGAGTCGGCAGGATCGAGGTAAATAAGCCTAAATGCATGTACATGCTACGTGACAGGCTTCTCTCTGAGCAGTAGGGAAGCGGTGGCACAGATCCTCCGTTTCTACGACTGTAAAGGTCCTCTCCAACCGAACTCATTCATTCAAGGAAAACAGGACTTGTGCTCCTGCATACAAGTGGTTAATGATTGTGGGATTTTTCTCTCCTGTCCAGCAGTCCTCACCAGTAATACAAAGTGCTCATTTTCATGTGCCCCCTCAATTTCCATCTATTTAGAGGAATTACTGCAGTGTCGTGTCTATTCTTTTATTTTACAAGATAATACTCCCTCATGTCTAATTGTCCAAGCGGCTTACCTGCTGTGTATCAGCCAGTGAAGTAATGACTCCGACCAGGGATGTTATCTGTCAACACTATCTGCTCTGTCCAGGTCATTAGCATTCACAATTGGCCTCAGATCAGTTCATATTCCAGCATTTATTCAACATCAGCTCTGTGTATGACTGGGCGGATGGAAGAAAGCCGTGATTAAGACTGCCTATAAAGTCTACTCATCAGAAACAAGGCCGGGTCTTTTACTTTGAAATAAAATTCCCAGAGTGGTATGCATCTAAACTCCTTCAAAGACAGGCCATTAATTGGACACATCTGTTGGAGAAACCCATAAGAGATTAGCCTGGTCTCCCCAAAGCTCTAACTATGTAATTAGGCTTCTGCCCTGTTCTGGACAATGCACACCGCTGCACTGAGATGAGATGTGTGTTCATATTACAGTAAGTGATGAAATTCATTATTCATCTATAGCAATCAGCCAACTCTGTAATTTGAAATTAGAGCATCATAAGTTGAAAGTTGGAAAGTTGAAAGGTTCATCAGCACGCGTCTTCACAACAAGACTTCTGTAACTCAAATATAACGGCATTAAATTAAATGTCCTCTGGAACTGTGGGCTCTCGATGACGGATCTACACCTTACTAGTTTATAATTTTAAGTGTTTATCAAGAAAAATGCCTCTAGTTTGGTATTGTCCCTGTATAAAATAGTTTGCTCAGTCAAGAGCTCCTGTTAGCTAAATCCTTGTAAAATTCCATGAACACATATCTTGTTTAATTCCTTGATTTTGCTTTATCAGTTAAAAGGATAGGTTGTGTTTTTGGAAATAGGTCTGCATGAGGTACTTATCCATAATCAGTATATTGCATACAGTAGATGTCACATGGCACGCCCCCAGTTTGTAGAAGCAGGCTGGAGTCTGACATGGAAGCTAAGCATTGTACTGCTGTCAAGGTTTCAGCAACAGATATTTTAGCCACCTGAAAGTCCCATCTAAAAACAAAAAAAACAAAACAAAAAATCACTATCAATTTAAGTATACGCTGTATTTAGAATATTGTCACTGCTTTACCTTGCCATCAGACAGCGATTTCCGATGGTGAACTGAAGCTGCTATATCGCTCTTTGCAAAGCCAGACTCTGAGAAAAACAGTAATTTAATCCCGCTGAACACAGGAGCTGCTGGTGGACCGCTGCCTTGATCGGTTTTGTCTGTGTTATTGTGTGACCTGTTCAGCAAGCCTGAATTACTGTTACTGGAGTCTGGTGGTTTTGACGAGAGCATGGAGAACTGAAATGGCTTCCCCGTCAGAACAGGCTGTCTGATGAAAAGGTAAAGGGGTGAAAATACTCTTGATAAAGCATACATCTGTTATAGATGTTTTTAGGTGTCTAAAATATATTTTGCTGCTGCCCCCGTCAAACAGTATAATGTTTAGCTTCCATCCCAGCCATGGCCCATATGGGTCATAAATGGATGGAAAAATGGTCTCTTAATGGGATCATCCACAGGTTCCAGATTGGCGCCATGCCAACTGCCCACATGGATGGGTTTACCCAAGTGGGCCCCAGATAAGATGCCCATTTTGGGCCCATACCCACTTATGCCCTAGCATAACCTTATGTGGGGCCCCCTTGATTAAACCCAACCATGTGGGCAACTGGCATAGGATCATAATGGAACCCATGGGCAATCCTATATAGGGGCCATTTTTTAGCCTATTTACTACTCACATGGGCATCACATACAAATGTTGGCTGGGATGTCAGCACTCCTGCCACTCTGAATATGCACCACATACAACCCTACTTTAAAAGATCTGAGCTTTCTCTTTAAACCTAAAGTCCTCTCTGACATTGCTACTCCTAGCCATGCTAGGATGACTAGGAGTAGCAATGTCAGCCTGTCTATATGTCTGTGTTAACTTTGTTTCTTTCTATCAGGTTAGTGAAAACAATTTTCTCTTCCTATATATTCTCATAAAAGTCACATTTCACACTGAGCTGATTAAATGATATAAAAATGAGAAGGACAAGCAGCTCTTCCTGTGCAAAGAACTCACTCCATTTAAAAATACAAGGACGTCGGCCTGGACAGGAATTAAATTATAGAAGGACCAGCGGGTTCACCATAAAACAGCCGGTAATTGTTGCTGTAATTATTACTGTAGAGAGGAAAAATTACCCACATATGCACTCCGGATGGGATTAAAATCACTGACCAGAGCAGGTGATGTAAAAATCAAGCTACCTTTCCTGGAGAAAAGACACCAGACTGGAGATATTTCTTGTTTCACGAATCTCTGGTGTCAATGTGTTACATTTAAGTGTTGAAATGTTTTCTCTAGAAGCTTTTTAGACCTGCTGTTTTATATGTGTTTCCCTGTTTGACATTATTTTGTGTCGCTGATATTACAAATAAACAAAAGGTTAAAAGTCAAAAGGATTAAGAAGTTTGTTTATATTAACGTACTGACACATCACTGTCCTTGATTTTGCAGGGTTTTGATGAAAGCAGCTCTGAAAATGAAGACAAATCTGAAGCAAGGGATGATGAGGATTTTAGTTTTGTGATTAGTCAAAGCAGAATTGGGGCACAGCATTAAATTACAAGCTCAGAGGACATGAACCTTACAGCAAAAAGTGGACCCCTGCACTCAGCCATTGTTATATGGTTGAACTTCTAAATTCTGCTGTATATAAATTCTACTTAAAACCAACATTTTATTTTTTTAAGGTGATATGTTCACCTCACTGTGCCTGCTGCCAGCTTTCTCGCCAAAATAATATGAATTAGATGAGGACTTGAGAACAGTCATTTAAGGGGTTGTAGGACACACTTATCTTAAAGCACTTCTTCACTGTGATGCAGTGGCATAAATATCGACAATGTAACTAGTGCAGCTGTCCATGCTGCTGATCAGGGGCTGGTTTACAGGATGGGAGGAGCACCCTTCAGTTCAATGATAGGAGTGACTGTCCTGAGGCACAACATTTGGTGGCAGTGTATTTTGGATTTATTTCACCGTCAGCTTGGCTGCATTATTGTCTTGGCAAATTGGTCTATTGATTGGAGACTAGTAGTTCTAATATTTGATGGGATCTGGCATATTATTATGGATTCCATTGCTTTTCTTGGCAAGTCCTGCCCTACTGGTGTAGTACTCATGCTGTTACTGACTAGTTCTTGTCACATCTATGTGTCAGAGTTGTAGATGGTTAGGGTAAGGGCAAAGAGTTAATTGTTAGGGCTAGTAGTATCCAATCACAGCGCAGTAGGGTGGGATTTGGGATGGGATAGTTAGCTCAGTAATAAAAGAACAAAAAAGTAAACTCAAAAAAGAAGCCTAATGCAGCAAACCAGAATTTTCAAGTTCTTTGTCAATGTCCTGGTAGGTTAGTGTTTTTATATCACAAAAGTCTGAACAAGTGCAATTATCATGCATCTTTACTGGTAAATGTTTTTAAATGACTATTGTAAAATGTTTGTTACTAAAGAAGTTATGCCAGCAAGCATTAGGCTAGCTATTAGCATGCCCAATGGTAAAATAGGGCTCATTGGTGCTAGCAAGTACCAGGCTTACAGTTACCACTATGTCATGTTAAGTTTATTTGAACAAATTCTAAGGGAAGGGGCAAAAATCGATACAGCATAGTATTGCAATATTTTGCATGGCAATATTATATTGATACATGGACCCCAATTTTTAATTCAAATTATGAATATATTAAATACAAATTCAACTTTTGCTGGCCTACTACAGTCATAAAATCAACTGCTTTTTCAGTCCACTGCATACATTTTGCTGCAATTAAAAAAAAAATGATTAAAGAGAGGTGACTGAAAACAAAATCCAATTACATAAACAAAATTTTCTTTGGTAATATCATTTGCCGCTAAAAAAGCTAATAAATCGCAATATGTGTTATTGCAATACTCAGCACATTGTAAAACATTTAAAATCACAATAATCTTGTATTGTGACTTACCTTTCCTATTTTCTACCCCCCAACTTCTGGCGCCTGTGCTCAGACCACACCCATCTTTTAACTCGGCCTTCATTTTGATCTCACCCACACAGCTGTAAAGTTTATTGACTGCATCTTGCACAGTTGTGATGCTATCAGTGACAGAACCTGTCCACAGAAAGACAGACAGACAGACACCTGGCAAAGTATTTAAAACCCCTATGTGTTAGTTTCTGCTCCAGGACCACTTTATCTTGGTGAAAACAATAACAGCCCCGCTGTTGTTGCTGATTTGATTTGACTATTTACATGTCACCTTTGCTGGTTGGGCTCAAACTAGTACAATTATATACGTCTCAGAGATACAAATGGGTGATTGGCTATTAAAAAACATGGAAGATTTATCAGGGTACTTTGACTTCAAGTTCTTTAGGAAAACAGAATTCTTCAAAAACATTTTAAAGTCATCTTTTCAGATAAAGGGAAACGTTCTATGGCTCCTTTTCAGGATTGATTTTAAGAGTATCTACAGCTCAAGCTGTGTGCAGACACCTTTGAGACCACTGGGAGCTTAATAATGGTAAGTGAACTGAAAATGAAATACAAAAAAAAACTTTCATAATATGGTTTTGTGCAGAGCTGTTTAATTTCCTTGTTTGCAGCAAGTATGTGTTTTCACAGAGATACCAGAGGGCACCTCAGGCCAGTACCACATCTCATGATCCCCCACAACCTGCGAGTAATGGTATGTCATGGGGTTGACTCGGCCCCATACAGTCACCTTGTTTCACCTACTGGCTGTAGTCAGGAGATTTGTGGGGAAAGCGGTAGTCTGTCGGGACTGTGTGTTTGTGTGTTTGCTTTGTGGTTGTTTTGAAAGAAACTGTATTACATTGCTATATCTATATAATGTATGTTAAAATCTGGTCCAACACAGTGCAATAACTACAACCTAAGTAGTTAATGGAATTGGGGGGTTAGATCACCACATGATTCCCCAGCGCGGCACCGCTGCTGCTCACCGCTCCCTCAGGGGATGGGTCAAATACGGGGAACAAATTTCACACACTCAGGTGTGTGACAATCAGTGGAACTTAGCTTTACTTTACCTAAGTGCATTACATATTTAAATAACACTATTTAAATACTGACTAAACTGTCCTCACCTTAAAGGTTTTGAAAACAAAACATTTGCAAATTAAGAATGTGTATTAAAGATAGTTTTAGTTAATATATGATAGGTAATTTTCATATCTATCAATGTTATCTTTTTCCCTTCACTTTTCTGGGCTTACTGTTGTAATTTTTCAAGGTACAGTTTTTATGTTTTCTGCAGCCATCTCACCTATTTTATCTTCTCTGCCTTTTTAATTTTTCCCCTCTCGAGGACTGCACTGCAAAAACAAAACGATATCAGCTGACCTTCAGCAATTCAGAGAAGTGCTCGACAAAGAGAGGCCGGAACAAAGGAAGGATTAACTTCACAATAAAAATGACAAGTGTGGAATCAAATGAGGTGATTGCATTAATATTGCATGTTCTGCGAGTATTTTTCTCACTGTTTAATTTGCAAGACATGTTGT